ACTGTTTCTTTGTTCACACGCAATCTTTGCCCATCCCCACGCTGCTGTCTAGTATGTGCTTTTAAGCTGCACTGCCTGTGCACATCCCACACAATGTCACATCTCTCACATGATTGAAGCTTTTTCAAAACATTTGGAATGAACATCTGATCAGAATAGTCCTTGAATGTCCTGTTTCTTTTTATGGAACTTAGGTTCTAGGCTCTGGACTAAAGCTGCCCCATCCACAACCTTCACCTCTACCTCTGGTGCCAGAAGATGTGTTTCTACTAAAGGCTCAAGCTGTGTCAGGATATCAGATTTGTTCTCAGCTGTCCTCATGTTCTCCACCATGTGTCAGATACAAAAACTAACGATATCCACTCAAATCTCTAACTGGCTAATTCTGTCCTTAACAATTATATTATCAAAGATTTCTAATGCTAATTTAATGAAATATTTATCATTGAACAAGATATGTTCTATACCCCCCCCCCCCCCGAATTAATAATATTTTGGGCCCTAAAGCTGAAAAACAAAATATGCACACCAAATGATGATGGTTGAATATTCTTGTTCTATTTCTAGGGCAAACACATGATCTTGCAGCAAAATTGGTCAATTTCAGATGGGTATATGTATATTTAGGTAGTCGAGGTTATTTATGCCTTTTTTTTGGGGGGGGGGCAATAGAAGTGCCCAATAATATCAAACGGCTGATCAAAAGTCTTGCCTGTCAATTTTTCTAGTTTGTATACATCATAGACCATCTTTGTGGAAAATGTCATGCTTTTGTCCGGATGTGAATAATTTGGCCCATTTTTGTCACCTATCATCCCCACTAACAGGCTGAGGGAGGGGGAGTGTGCCTGGGGGTTTGTTGAGGCAACCTCTGGTCGTTTCACAGCGTTCAACAATCTGACGGACCCTGTACTTCTGTGGGATACGTTCAAGTGTGAAATGCTTGATGCAGCCCAAGAATTGATTGGTGACCTTTTTAGTTCTACAAACATCTAACACATGTGAAGAGAGCAAGACAAATCTTTTTATCTTGCAGGAGACACTGGAAGCCACAGATGCTCGTCGTGTGGCTTGTCTGACTCGGGATCAGGATTTGCACTGTTTTCAGGTGCGCAAAACTCGGTCACTATTAAGAAAGGACAAAACAGTTTATCAGGAGTCTTGCTGAGGAGGTCGAAGGCCATTTCTTAGTAAATGACCTTCGTCCTGCATACCAAGCCCTGAGAAAGCTGAACTCCAAGCCCTCTTCACAGGTGATGGCAGTTCTCAAAGTAAGTGGCCAGATCGTCTCAGATCCTGTTGCGGTGTGGAAGTGTTGGGCTGAGTATTTCGAGCAGCTGTAGCAGGTTGACCCACCAACAGTTAACTTAGATGTGGGTAGCGCCGAGATCCCGTTGCCGGACTCTAACTTAAGTCAGGGGGTGGGGGGGAGCGATCTCCAAGCTGAAGAATGGTAAAGCAGCGTGTATATGCGGCATCCCAGCTGAACTGTTAAAGGCTGGTGGTGAACCCATGGCGCGGGGGTTGCATGCTGTCCTGGCTACCATCTAGCGGTCCGGTACTGTTCCTGCTGACCTGTTGAGTGTGGTCATCCCTCTCTGGAAGGGGAAGGGGGGGCCGATGGGACTGCAGCAAACACAGAGGCATCTTACTGCTCAGTATACAAGGCAAGGTTCTTGCCCACATCCTTCTGAGATATATCAGAGATCACTTACTGAGGCTGGAGCAATCTGGATTCACTCCTGGTAAGACCGTATCCTGGCACTTAGACACTGTAAAGTGCCGTCGTGAGTTCGGCCGTGGGTTGCTTGCAGCCTACATCGACCTCAAAAAGGCATTCGATACGGTGCACCGGGAATCACTCTGGGAGATCTTGAGACTGAGAGGAATTCCAACAAGGATTATTGGACTAATAGGAAGGATTATTGGACTAATAGGAAGGATTATTGGACTAATAGGAAGGATTATTGGACTAATAGGAAGCCTGTATATTGGTACTGAAAGTTCTATAGTGTGGTAATAGCCTGTCGAGCTTCTTTCCTATTAGTTCAGGAGTGAGGCAAGATTGTGTGGTTGCATGAACACTTTTCAACACGCATGGACTAGATACTGGGCAGAACTACTGTTCAAAGCCGTTGTGGTGCAACTCCGGGCAATATCAATGTTACAGCCCTTGACTTTGCCGATGATAATGCTATTCTATTTGAGTCTTTGAAACCTTAGTGGTAGCTCTGGATGCATTTAGTAATGAAGCGAAGCCCTTGGGTCTAGAGGTCTCCTGGACCAAGACCAAGAACCAGGACTTTGGAGACTTGCTAGGAGAACCTGTTCGGTCGGTACGTCCCTGCGGTAAGGGTATTGAAGTCACAGAAATCTTTACATACCTTGGTAGCGTAGCCCATAACTCAGGGCTGTCAGACCAAGAAGACAGCAGAGGGATTGGCTTGGCAGTAGGGGTCATGAACCCTCTTGACAAGAGTTTTTGGAGATGCCGGTACCT